AAAGATAGCCTTAGAAGATAAGGTGTCCCTAGAGGATCAATTAATTTGGCTCCTGACTATCTCTCCCGCCATAGTTTTCAAGATAGGATAGGCTAAAGGTGCAGAGAGACTTAAAGGGGAATATCAGGAGTGCAATTTGTGTTCTTAAAAAGTCTAGTAAATTCTTCATTTTGGGGTGGAATTTATTTCCTTTCTTCTTCTGCTATTGCTTACTTCTCTTAAAAAACAAACAAACAAACAAACAAACAAACAAACAAACAAAAAACACCAACCAAATCAAACAAAAATCCTCAACAAAATCTACAGGATTCAATTGCTAAACTCTCAGTAATAAGGAAGACCAACATTAAGCTCTTCTATGCAGCCTTAATTGCAAGATCTTGTGCATATTCATTATGATGCCATTACTCCTTACTTAACTAAAAGCTGTATTTCGAACACAAATCTTCCCCTTTTTTCTTTTATCAGCCTTGCAGAAAGTAGGATAGCATTATTTAAGGACTCAAAAGGAAGTTCATAGAGGGTTTCTTTCACTGTGTAAAGGAGCTGTGCAGTCACTAACAATGACGGTGCTCCTGAGATCCAGGACCCAGAACCTCTCCTGTCCTTGCCATAGATTCCTACTATTGCCTGAAGCAAACTATTAATAATCTTCCTAAAGGTTGCCTGTGATATTATTACTTCTTGTTCTATTATGAGGACAGGGAAAATCAGCCATGAATGTTTACAAGTCGTTCAAGAGAGTTCACCACCTTTATCCCCATCTGGGTACATGGTGGGCAAGATGCACAAACAGGATGAATAGCCAAAAAAGGAAAAAAGGCTGAACTTTCATCTTATGTCATGTTTGTCATCACTGAGCACTGTATAAGGCAGACTCTAAGGATAAACATCCACTAATGTCATAAAACATTTTGTCAAAGTGCAGACATAAAAGTTGCTGAACTAGCACAGGCTTTTCAAAGCTTTGGAATCTCTAGAGTTGCAGCAAAGCTCTTTGAACATAGAAAAATCTGTGATGTGTACTGTGTCAAATGCTCCTGTCGCTAAAAGCAGCTTCAGTTTGCGTACGTTGTACAAAGAGCCCGAAGCTGGCTGCGTAACAACGGTGGGAAATTGTCTTTAAAAGGCCGATTTCTGCCTGTGAAACAATAGCAAAACAGTTCCTGTGCCTTCAGTAACAACTTCCGTGCTCTGATGATCTTTAAGGTTTCTTCTAATCCAAACCATTCTATGATTCTATGATTCTTCGTTTTCAAAGACCACCCTCCACCAAAAGTGCAAGGAGTCTGAGGAACATGCTAGGGAGAGAATAACTTTTGTTTTGTCACTGAATGTGCACTTTTTAATTCACAGCATATTCTTGCTGTGGCTTAAAATTTAACAGGAGTGGAAAGATAAATGTGAAGCAACCACGACTGACTTTCTGCAATTTCTGCCCAGGAAAATTAAAGAGTCTATCCTATTTTGTATCTTAAATTTAATTTCTTTTTCAGTGTATGCAGCAAGAAAGAACAAACAATGTGCGTGAAAGTGTTTAATTCCTCATTCTGATTATCTGTTCATTTGATGCAGCGTGATCAGCAGCACTATTTCTTGCAAATAAGACTTGTGATTCAGCCAAAGAAACGACTTGATTTCCAGTCTAATAACACATTTTTCATTTAGAATTCTACAAACTTTGTATCTGCAAGTGATAGTAAATATCTCAGTAAGTATGAGCTAAACAAGACACTTCATTGCTGTAGCACTTCAGAAACTTTTTAATACAAACATATGTTTCTGGCAAAACCAGTGCTGTATTCACATTCCCCTTTGACGTAAACTGAACATTTTTTTTTCTTGATACATATTTACATAAAAGACATTTTCGTTGAACAGTATGAACCAAATCCTAGCTGATATAGTTGGACCCCGTCCATTACTTTTGACACCCATCTAGTGGACACAACACAGTATCACAGTATGAAATTCCTGTCACAACAGCCACGTTCAAATCTTGCACATACTTGTAGATATCTGGTGGTGCAAACCACACGGCCTCTCCCAGCCGATGAAGCTGAAATTTTACCTAATAGACTTTTAAATTTTTAAAAATCACTATTTTTATAATTTGACAGTGACATCATTCATAGAAGCCATTCTTAGTGTCTGACTGGGAGAAATAAGACTGATAATAAAATGGTCATATCATGTCCACAAAAGGTGGAGAAAATAAAACCAATCTGCAAACAAAACCATATGTTTCTGTAATCCAATAAAATACCTTTTAATCAGTTGAATAATTAAGTTCACTGTTAAAGAAATGAATTTAATAGTCACTCCTTATTCAAAATATTCCTACTGTGAGAAAGACTTACATTTACCTTCATATATTTCCATCCCACTTTTAACTTTTGCTTTAGAGCTTTCAGACAAGTTTATGTATTTAAAATGATACTGACATTGCAGAAGCTAGTGTTATTGAGCACAGGAGTAAACAGTCCTATTTTATCTAAAATTACGCTAAAGTTCTGCCCTCCTGCCCTCAATAGAAAAACAAAACATACAGAATGTTATTTTTTAGGAGTCTGTGTGGTCTTGCAGCTGTTTAAAGAAAAAAATATTTTATTTAGGCAATAAATAGTGTTAGGAAATTTGGATACAATAAGCTCACAGATTTTCTGAACCATTCACTAGTATTGTGAGTATTTTGTGCTCCTGGAATACTCAAGAATTCATAGTCGAAAGATATTGATTGCTAGTGAATAATAGTAGTCATGCTAGTAGTAATGGCAATGTCGTTATTAACTTATAGCACTACAAGCTACAAAGGATGTTTTACTGTAGTATTCATGCTATCTTGCCTTCTCCCGTATGTTTTTCAATACTTTTTTTGTGAGCAGATCTCACAGTGATCACAAAGATGCAACAAATAGAGAAAATGAAAGGCAAAGATGAGATTTGTGTTGTCCAAGACGACCCAGCAGGCTGGTGGCAGAACTCTCATTTGATATCTTACGGATTTAGCTTTGTTAGCTTGAGATTGATAATGTCACGTAGTAGTAGCACATTTGGGGACAGAGAAAAAGTATTCAGGCATAATCAAAAGGCGTAATCAAAAGAAATCAAATTTGGAAAGAAGTGTGTATGTAAGGATTTACTGACAGTGAATTGTTCTGAAAACTACAGTGAAAAGAGGATTAAATTTCTAAGCTTTCTTGAATTTTGTTTAATACCATTTTCTGAATAGCTTTCTTTGGGGAAAAAAAAAAGTGGATTTTGAATACAAAATAAAAAGTATAATCTGGGAGCAACAGAAAGCTTGCAGTTCTAAGAATATGTGCTGAGTAGCAATGAAACAATGGAATAAAACATGAAACCAAGGTCCGTTCTCTGCCTGGCAATGTGTATCTCTGTCAAACTAGGCAATATGTGTTTCTTTGATTAGTTCATCTAACTAATGACAACACAGGAATGCTGTCACTTCAGTAAAACATTAGAGCGGCAACCTCACTGCAACCTCAAGCATATAACAGCAAGAAACAAGCTACTGCAGAGAGTAGCATGTACCTGCTGTGACACCTGCGCCAGGCTGAAGTCTAATCAACAGTTGACATGTACTGAATATTTTCTCTTTTGCTGTTATTAGATATAATTGAAACCCGGTGGGTATCCTTCATGAACAGTTTTCAAAATGAGTACTTTAGATGGGTTCAATACAAATACATATTATGTTGCTAACAGTTACCCATGTTTAAAAACAGTTATCCATGTGAAAGATCTGTTCATCCCTCATTCCTAAATGCTTTAGAGATATTGTTTAAATTCCCATTATTATGGCAAATGAGCCCAGGTAGCCAAGGTCTCATGCACACCTTTCCTACTTGCTGCTGAAACTGATACTTGATTTTATAGAGACACAACCAACTAGGGAAACAAAAGTCATATTCCACTTCTGGCTGGATAAAACATGCTCTGTCCCATCAGATGGAGACATAATCTTGCTAATCGACACATTTGTAACCTCCGAGACTGCATACCACAACACTTTAAGTCTAGAAATGGAACAACATGCTTCAAAAAGACTCTATATGGTACCAAATGCAGCTGTCAGGCTGCTAAGCAACGTGGGTTGCCATGAACACATCCTCCCAGCACTGCCCACCCTGCCTAGTTGCTAATTGATTGCAGACTCCCATTCAAGGTCTTTGCACTGATTTTCAAAGGCCTTTGTGGAAACATCACATACTACGTGAAAGAGCATCTTCTCTTTCTTTCTCTGCCTTCACCCTTCAGACTCTCATGACATCAGTGTTCCCTAGGAATGATAAACATGTTTACCACTCTTAATACCAAATACAATATCTACCTAGAAGCGCTGCATCTAAACTGTGTAGTTCAAAGACAGGAATGTCCACAGAAGTCACACTGCTTGGCAGCGAGCAAAGAACTCATTTCTTTCATCTGATTGTAAAATAGCAATTCTAATGCATGTAAATGTGCCCAAGAACACATGAACACCTTAATCCCACCCCAGCATTTTGTTTATTGGGATTAGACAAAATATGTTCTGAAATATTTGGGTAGTAATGAAATATTAGGGTTGGGTACTTGATAACAAAAAAGCCCTCAACTGCCTCAACAGTCAGAGACAGGATAATGAGGGTCCAGATCAGGAGAGAGGGGGCCTGAGGAAGAAAAGAATTAATCATGTTTCCTCAGGTATAGAGCTTATGGATACTCTACCTGCAGAGAAACATAAGACTTCCTCTGTTCCTAATAGTGGTAAGGTTTTTTCTCTACCAAATTTCCTTCAGACTCGTTCTTTTTGGTTCTCAGCAGTTTTAAAATATATTTCTTGTGTGCTTTGGTCTTTGGCTTAGTAGTGGACTTGACCAGGTCTTTATTTCCCTGTTATCAAGAAGTAAATACCTAGTGATAAATTTGTCAGAAGAATTTTATTACTTTCAAAATTCTTATGTCGATAGCATTAATGTTTTTCTCCTTTCTTTTTGCAGTTTTGATGTGGACAATGGTACGTCATCAGGACGAAGTCCCTTGGATCCCATGACGAGCCCTGGGTCGGGGCTAATTCTTCAGGCAAACTTTGTCCACAGTCAACGTAGGGAGTCTTTCCTTTACCGTTCAGACAGTGACTATGACCTATCTCCAAAGTCCATGTCCAGGAACTCCTCCATTGCCAGTGATATGTAAGTACATTATAAAATACTTTTAGCCTATGTTTTTTCCTCTGTCTTAAGATTTTTCTAGCCACAGTAAATTTCTTTTAAAAATCAAAGGCAGTAATCAGTTGTGCTACTGAATTCATGGATGATTGTTTATTTCTTTAATGAAGCTTATACTTGTTTCTGCAGTTTTCTGAAAGTAAAGATATCATGAGGGTGTACTTGATATGTTTATGCACTTTTTTAGCTTTGACAGAATAATGAAAACAGTCAATACTGATGTATCAAAACACTAAGGAGAACTCTAATTTCATGCTATTAAGTTCTTTTCAAGAGAAGCAATGCAAACTCAATTTCTGCTTCTTAATGTTCTTAAGAAAAAGATTCCATTTATTTGCACTAGGTATTTTTTGGTTTTTAGGGAAAAGATTTACCAGCTGGCAGAAATTAATAAATTCAAGAGAGGCAAAAGCTATTTCAAATACCCTTTTAATTAAAAGGCAAAATTTTAACAAAAGGCCTTTGGAAAGTTATTCTATCATCTCTCACTACTCTTCTGTGATGTGTGTATTTTATGCTAGTGGATCATACTTTTCAAGTATGTGTGGACCCCAGGATGCATGGGTAGTGGAAGTCAGATGCAAATCTCTGTTTATTTGCAAGACAATAAAAACATGCTAAATGTCCTAGCTTCTAGTCACTTCGAAGCAGTAGAAATTAAGAATAACTTCTTTTGTTTGTTTGCCTTATCCGCTCCAAATTTCACTGCCAAGTAGGTCTTTATGGGTCAGTTATGAGTCACTAAATTAAAGGACCAGGCTTCTAAGAGTCCCCGAGTGAGTGAGGAAGATTAAATCATTAAAAATCTGGCATTAATATAAATGATGTTTTTTAATGAGGCAAAACACAATCAATATCCTCTTTAAAAATAACAGAGTACACACAACAAAAGAAAAAAGTTTTCATAATAATGAGTGAAATTTCACCTGATATTTAACTTGCAGTCATTATAATTGAACACTTCTATTTTCAGCTTACAGATAATTATTAGAAATATTGATTAGTCCATCTAATTATAAGTCTCTTTCTATGTAAGTGTCAAGATGAGAATAATTCATACTTTTACAGATGGTTTGTGTAAGGTCCATACTTCAGTTAAGTCCTGTAGATTGAAGTTCTTAGTAAGCTTTGTGCCCAGTGAGACTAACTTTGGTTGAGACAAAACAAGTAAGGAAAGGGCCAATCCATCTTGCCTTGTGATAAAGAAAAATGCATTCCACTTGCAAATAGTAACCCCCTTTCAGCAAATCTTTCTTTTAGTTGGACAAGAGTCAAGCTTTTAGTGTAGCACCTGGATACCACTTGGAAATATTTTTTCATTCAGAGGGGCAATCCAGGTCACTGTGTTGCTTAGATGAGTCATTTAAATTAAAAATTCAATTAGTGCTCCATCATTGAATTCAGAATCCACTTCTGCATTTCCTAGAATTCTGGGTAATATTTCAGCACATGGCAGTAAATTGGATAAACAACTGAATTACTGAAACACTGAGCACACTTCTTCCTTTCGATATTTGTATTTATGCTTCCTTTAAAAATTTTCTTAAAACACATCTGTGTATAAAATTTATTGGACCTCACATCTGTATAGATTTTCATAGTCTCCTGTCACAGAGGAGCTGTTGTACTGAGAAGGTAAATATTCCTGCCACTGTTCAGGATGGGATCACATTAGGAAATGTGAAAGGTAAGTTGTTTTAACCATGGAATATTAATCACATATCAGTAAGCCTAATTATAATAATCTTGATTATATAGAAATCTGTATCACATTATATAGAAAAGAAGAAAAAGAAAACCAAAGAATGAAAGAGAGGAAAGTTCAAAAAAAGATAAAATAGTGAGGAAAAAAATAAACAAAAAATACGACAAAGCTCTTTATATATGGGTTCAAGGAGAAACGGGATGTGCTTATGGAAAGAAAACCCACTGAAGAATATTAAGATGGGGAAACCCCTACAATTCAGGATGTTCCTAAATGAGGTGGAGGCTGGAAGAGTTGTCAAGGGAAGTATCACACAAGTTTTAGTTTACTCCCAAATTATACTGTTTCCCTTTTGCATCTATATACGTGCGTAATTTTAAATAGTGCATGTTTCTTTAGCATGAGCAAAATACATTACAAAACATATACACATCATCCAGGTAATGCAGATGAATTAGTTACACATAACAGTTTAACCTAGAATCCCCTGATTCTTCAGTATTTGCATTACCAACCTAAATATTTCACTTTGTAAAGCAAAGAGAACGTAAAAGGCATGCATCTTGTATTTGGAAGGAATATAACATAAAGATTTCTGTGATTTCCATTATTCTCAAATAGTGTGCTTAGAATAATACATTCCACTTCACTAGCAGCAGGTGAAACAAAAACAAAACTTCAAGATTTTAGTCAAATGTGGAGTGTTGTGATAAAAGACAACCAGTGGATGGCAGCGCTAACTGAATTCGTTATTCTGTTATTATTTATTATTTGTGCAGCTCCAGCCAAGGAAGGGAACATAATTGTGCTCAGTTCTTTGCAAACACAAGATGAAAAGATGGGCCCTGCCACAAACAACAAAGTTGAAGCATAAGATGATAACCAAGAGACTAATATAGTCAGATACTATCCCCAGATGAAGGTATAACATGAGACCCTATGCCCAAAGTAGTAAACCTCACAGAGCAACCAAAGGGAGTTGAGATGAAAGTAACAGAAACAAGGGCAGACAAAGGGCAGGTGGAAAGTTTTTTAAAATCAAAGAGTCTAAAGTATATTTGAAAGTGAGTAGCTGGATTAGCCATGGAAAACCATAAAAGACAGGACGAGTGCGAGGCTGCTCAGGTGAGAGAAGGTTAGCAGGACAAATTTGGATGTAGTTACAGTGCTGAAAGAGGCAGAAGAAGCAGCTGTATGATAAGAAAGAAAAAACAAGTGAAAAGGAACAGGAGTCAGTAACATATTTTTTCAATTGTATCTTGGAAGAAATAGCATGGTCCTACAGAAGTAAAAAAGCAAAACATGGAGATGATATGAGGTGATGAGAAAAAGCCAAGGTTGTGAACTGGAGAGGCAGATGGTTAGACAGGAAGATGCAAAGTCCAAAGCAGAAGAGCACAGATGCATTGTGAAGCCTGGCTATGGGATTTCCACGAGAGAGATGAGGGTGTGCAAGAGAAAGAGAAGTGAATGAGTGAGCTAGTGATAATGAGCAAGCCAATACGAGGAATTACAGGGCAGGATCTGTGATGAGAGACAGGAAGACAAATGTAAAGTGACGGAGAATAAAGAATGGAAAATAAAAAAGAAAAAATTGCCAACAGCACTGTTGCAACACAGAGAAAAAAGGGAACAGAAGCTAGCTGAAAGATGAGCAAAATCATCAGTCTTGTACTGGAAGAATTGTCAGGTTTATGTTTGAAGACATCAATGAAGCAGGGAGCTTTGTGAGTTTCTTGCAGAGATGGCCTGATTACTTAATACTCACTCACCTGTTTGGACTGCTATTGCTGCTCAGAACTTGCAAATGCAGACAGAGGCAGAAGTGGTAACACTTTTTATGCCTTTCTTGCTAAGGGATCACTGCCCTGATTAACAGAGCAAGAGCTCGAACTAGTAGAGAATCTTCATTTCAGCAAAAACCAGGTCTCTAACCAGGTTAAAATATTGATTCTTCGATGAAATTGTTAGCACTCTTATGAACATTAGAAAGAAGCCAATAAGCAGTCCACTGGCTGAGGCAGAGCCCATGTTTTAACTGCCACTCTAAAGGCAGAAAAGCATATGTAGTCCCCCTGCGACCCTGCAGAAGCAGACCAGAGTGTTGCACACCAGACCAGAAGACCAAGACACTCAGTACAGAAGTCTGTCTGAGCTCCACTATGTCTTGTGAATGTATGTAGGGGAAAAGACATTTGACAACAAACACTCCTAAGTCTACCCTTTTCCCATTTCCCCCAAGTCACAGAACACAGCTTGGACACAACATCCTGGTCTTCCCGGGGTGTGGCCAATTGAACCTGACTCAGCAAAAAGTTAGCTGGTGTGGGGAGTTTCACAGGCTTCTTCAGAGAGGCTCAGCACTGTTTCCATGATCAGATGAAAGATCACTATGAGCTCTAACTAGTATAATTAACACAAAATAAACCTTGCTTACAACTTTTAAGCACCAGAACCTAGCCACAGAACACTGACCGTAGGGAACTGCAGAGTCATTGGGCTGGTGATCTGCTAAATGGCCAAATGGTCACCAATACACCCATTCCCCAAACTGGCCAACGTAGTGCGATTCTGCCAATACCTTCTGTAGATAGTAGCATCCATCTCCTGCTCTCTGTTGTAAAAGAAATGTCAAGAGGATGCATTTTACTCCAGGATTTTTTCTGTATAGTGACAGTATTATCCTACCTTCTAGTGGATGTGCTGGTTTGTAGACTGTCTCTGAATGTATCTGCAAACCTTGGCTCCACATTTACCACAAAAAAAAAAAATTAAAAATGCTTTATTTGTAAAAGCCAAATGTGGACTGCTTTGGAACAAAAAGAGCCTCTGTAGTCTGATAAATATGCACACCAACATATAGAGATTTGGGTTCTTTTGTCAGAATGAATTACCCCCTTCTTCAATAGCTGGAGAGATAGTTGTGGGATTTTTAATTTGTGGGGGTAGTTTTTTTTCAAAATAAAGCCAAAATAATCTGTAATTTTGCAAAGAATAAAGAATAACAGAATTTTTCTGGCTGCAATTGTTACCTTAAATAAAGCGAAATTTCAAGGTAGGGAATTCCCTTATTTGTGAGTGACTGGCAGGTCTGGTCCTGACCTGAAGCTGCAAGTGGGCTGAAATATACCTTTCACTGGCATATAGAACTAACAGAGAAGAGAATTTTTGAGGTGAACTTGCACACGTTTCCCAGTTCTCACAGTGTCCTCAGCTTTTAAAAAAAAATTGCATAGTATTCAATCTGGATCAGATTCAT